GAGGGAGATGGAGGTTGGTGAGGGAGATGGAGGTTGGTGAGGGAGATGGAGCCTGAGGGGGAAGATGTGCTTGGAGCACTTGCTGAATCCCACAAGACCTCCATGTCTTTTAAATTAAAAAAAAAAAAAAACAACAAAAAACCTCTTCTGGTCCAACATCCTTCTCCAGCTCAACCATTTCAACCAGTTTGGACCCTGGTGAGCCCAGGTTACCCTTGGTCCCCTCTCTAAGCCCATCCTGTCCATCCCCATCCCTGAGGATCCATCACCCCTGGGCAGATTCGGGTGGTTCCGGTGAAATAACAGTGATTTGTGCTATAAAGTTCTTTCCAAAAGGGAAAAATTTATTATTTAATGTTACTTCTCATTCTTTCACCCATGTTACAGTTGTGGTTTTGGACTCCCCACCCCTGGAAGTGTCCAAGGCCAGGTTGGACAGGGCTTGGAGTGACCTGGGATAGAGGAAGGTGTCCCTGCCCATGGCAGGGGGTTGGAATGGGATGAACTTTAAGTTCCCTTCAAACCCAAACCATCTTGGGATTCTGGGACTCTATGTAAAGTTGCAGCCAAATCCTTCTTCGCAGCTTCTTCCTTGGCTTTGAGGATGTTTTTGGGTTGTTTTTTGTGCTTTAATACTGTTCCAGCCCCTGCTGGAAACTCTCAGCTCAGGTATCCTTAAAAGTTGCTTCACCCATACAAAATAGGCTTGGAAATTTGATGTACAGGGAGATGATAAATGCAGATTGAGGTGCTATATAGATAATTTTTCCTCTCTCTCTGCTGTAAATAACATAATGTTCCTCCAGCCTTGCCCTCAGGTGGTGTCACAGCAGCCACACGTGTTCAGGTGGAAGAAAACACTTCTGTACAACATAAAGTGAGACTCTGATCCCTCCTAATTTATTTTGGGATGACACATCCTTGCCATTCCTCTGGATGTACCCTACCTGTGGTGTCCTGACTACCTGGAAGTCAGGAAGCTCTGCTTTTCCAGGTTATCCTCACAATTGGAATAATGAGGATAATTGTAATTTTGTAATTAGAGTTAATGCAAATCAGCCCAGGACCTTTCCTCGTGCCAGGGCCTGGCTGATGGGATGTCAGGGATATATTTGGTGCTGATCATGCCAAGCAGTCACTGCTGAGGTCAGGGAAGCCTTTGCCATGAGCAAGTCAGAGAAATTTCTCACTGGGAGTAGAATTTAGTGAGATAAAACTTGAATTTTATACTATTCACAAGGTGAAATTCTCAATGAACAAAACTAATGGGATCCCAGCAAAATATTTTCAAGTTTTCCACACTGGAAAAAATGTAAGTGAATATTGTTGGCAAATGATTATTGATCTGGACAAGTGTGTTAAAGGTTTCTTGGCAGCCCTGTATTACACTTACAATTTAGTTTAGTGACAGCTTTTAGAAATAACCCCAAAGCAAACTCTGCATAGAAGCAGGTTATTGGTTTTTCTTTCAGGCAGATTTTGGTGCTGCAAAATGTGTTTGGAAATGGGCTCCCCAAGTTCTGTGTTGTCAGCAGAATATTCAGCCTGTGATATCTGTTCTGCTAATTCTGCAAATTGACTGAATTCTGCTTCCCTTTAGCTTAAAATATTAAACTGTGGAATATTGGGTGGGTGCAGCCTGAGCCTGGCTTAATTCACTGGGAGCCCAGTTTGGTTTGTAAAGTGGGGGCTTAATAACTGAGTGTGCAATGAATTGTTTGTTAAATTGGACTTTCATTGCCTTTTTGAGAGGGTCTGTCCTGAAAATCCTGAGAACTTGTAACTCCAGGCAGCTCAGCACACTTGGACTCCAGTGCTTGGTGTTTTAGCCCTGGTTAGCAGCCAAATGGATGAGAGAGGAGGGCAGGGATGAAGGAAACAGGAGATAAACTTGACAGTGAACAGCCGGTTTGAGCTCTGGCTGCTCCAGGTCAGGTTGTTTTCCAAGGACTGGAGCCCCTCTGCTCTGGAGCCAGGCTGGGAGAGCTGGGAATGTTCTCCTGGACAAGAGAAGGCTGCAGGGAGATCTGAGAGCCCCTTGCAGGGCCTAAAGGGGCTCCAGGAGAGCTGGAGAGGGACTGGGGACAAGGGATGGAGGGACAGGACACAGGGAATGGCTTCCCACTGCCAGAGGGCAGGGATGGATGGGATATTGGGAAGGAATTCCTGGCTGGGAGGGTGGGGAGGTGCTGGCCCAGGTTACCCAGAGAAGCTGTGGCTGTCCCTGGATCCCTGGAAGTGTCCAAGGCCAGGTTGGACAGGGCTTGGAGCAACCTGGGCTAGTGGAAGGTGTCCCTGCCCATGGCAGGGGGTGGGATGGGATGATCTTAAAGGTCCCTTCCCATCCAAACCATTCCAGGATTATCAGCCCCATCCTTTCATTTCCTTCCTTTTCTCCTTGTTCATTAAAATATTATTTCCCCTATTACTCTCTTTCCTTTTCTCACATCAGGAGAATTAATGTGGATCTTCAGTTGATTATTTTGAATCATTCTTGTACTTTTTGTGTCAGCTCTGCTCATATCTCTGTGTTCTTGTGTTTTAGGTCATCCCCTTAGATATAACACTGGAACTCCAGAAGCAGATCATGTCAGAGTTAGAAATTCTTTATAAGGTATATATAAGTTTTTATAATTTTCATTGTTCCTTCTTTAATTTTCTCTACAGCAAATTTTCAAAGAGAACTTCTCTCTTTTTTCTTTCTTTTCCCAGTGTGACTCATCGTATATCATAGGATTTTATGGTGCTTTTTTTGTAGAAAACAGGATTTCATTGTGTACAGAGTTCATGGATGGTGAGTTGTGTATTTGGTTTGCTTTTGATTGCTAAGAATTTAAATGGGAAAATTATATAAAGATGTGCTTTTGTCGAATGGAGTGGTGTGACTTGAAAATGTGAAGTATTAATAACTTTGCAGGGAGTTAAAAAAACAGAACAAGGATTGGGATCGTGCTGAATTCTCCATGAAATGCTGCATTTTCCCCGTGTGTAACTTCCCTCACTTTTATTGAAAATGTAAATAGAAGAGAAATAAATGCTGCCTTAATTTGTGGGTTGATATTGGAGCCTTCCTTCCAATCTGTCCTCGCTGGCAAAACAGCTGTTCCTCACTCCCAGGGTTTTTGATAGCCAAAACAGATTTTCTTTTAAAGAAATCTATTAACCCAATGTCCTGTGTGTTTGCAGTGGAAATAGTCTCTTAATTGCAAGACAAGGAGTTATTTTCCAACACAGCTGTTTGCCAGCCCTGTGCTGATTTCTTTTTGAGTCTTCTCCTGATTCCTCCCCACGTGAATCCTGGGACCAAGAGCAACGCCACATCCCCACAGGCTGATCTTACTGTTGGAAATCTTGGGAATTCTTGGAAAAAAGGCAGGGAGAATCCACTGATAACAGCAATTTATAATCCTTGCTGGCCTGTGTGAGTGAGTTCTGAGAGCATCTCGTGGCAGATGCTGTCCCTGCGTGTCTCGTGCTCGAGAAGCCTCTTCACAGCTTAAAACTCTTCCCATCACCAGCAAAAGTCTGTTCCTCTCTCCAGGGTTTTCTTAGGAGCCAGCATTTTATGCCCTATCCAGGTTTTTCACGAAGGCTCCTCACTTAAGCTGGGTGTAAAGGAGTAAAGATCTCACATGTGATTTCCTGCCACAAAGCCTTTCCCTCCCCAGGAAAAATTCCCAAAGCCAAATGAAACATCACTGAACAGCTTCTTTCTTTCTGAATAAAGCCCTTTAGGGTTTCATGGTGCATTTTGTTTTCTCCCTGCTCAAATGGCCTGTTATTACTGTTATTTCTCCCTTTTTACCCTCACTGCCTCCAGCCCAGTGATTGCTGCACCCTGTTTCCAAGCCAGGAGGGTTCTCTCAGACTTTCTGTCTTTGAAAAAGTATTTTATTCAAAAAATCAAAGCCCCCAAGTTAAATTCTTTGCTTGTTCTGCTGCTGGGTGACTATTTGCCCTTTCTCTGATCTTCCCTGCAGTTACACTCAGACTTACAAGGCTGTGTAAAGCAGTAGTTACACACAGTCAGGAAGCATCTGCTCGTGCCAAAACGAGCATCTGCCTGGAGTTTGTCCTTTCTTTCACTTCACAGAATATTCTGAGTTGGAAGGGACCCACAAGGATCCTTTAATTCAGATATTTGTTTAAACATTATGGCCACAATTGCTTGCAGGTCTGAATTCTTGCTTGAAAATATTTCAGCTTTTAGGGTCTGCACCCCCTTATGGTGGTGCATAAATTCCTTGGAATTATCCTGGACGTGACCTACTCTGCCTCATGTTGTGCTCTCCTTCTGGCAGAAAGCCCCAGCAATCACTGAAAGGAAGAACAAAATGCAAATAAATGGACCTTGCCTTTTCTTTTCCCTCCCTCAGACCTTTAATTTTCATGCATAAGGATGCAGGGAAAGAGAAGGAAAAAAACACTCTCTCATCCTGCAGATGAACAGCTTTAACCTTGTCAAATTTTTAGCCCTTTTTGTCTGTTCTAGGCCAGTTTATATTTCCTGAAGCCATATCCCGTGACCCTGGGCCACATTACAGGGATTTACTTTCTGGATGACCAGGATACAGGTGGATCTGAGTCTTTTGGGGAGGCCCCCGTGGGTAAAAAGGACCATTTTGGTGCTTCCCTGGCACCTCCAAGCAGGAAAAAGCCAAGGAATTCCAGGTCTGCAAATATCAAAGCACTGAGGTTGAAGTGGCCTGGGTCACCCTCCCACCAGTGGGTTTTAAAGAGCAGCAGAGATGTGAAATGAGGCTTTTTTTAGATTTTGCCCTTTTATATTTGTGATAAAAGTGATGCTCTAAATAAAGGTGGTGAAATGCCCTATTGCCTTTTATTTATGTTGTTGCCTCTTCTCCTTGGAAGTGCTGAACACCTGCTAAATTCCCCTGGAAAACAGGTTATCAGGCTGTCCCTGCATGTCTCTCTACAGGGTTGGGAGCTGGCATCACTGGATTTGGAAAAGTTGTCCTCTGCAGGATTCTTTCTCCCTAGAAGAATGGCAGATTTCCCCCATTTGTTTGCAAAAAAATGCTTTCCTTAATTTTTCCAGCAGCACCACCTTTAGTGCCAGCTCTAAGAGCCAGGCTTAGCAGTTTGGGAGGTGAAAATAGAACTTTGGGGGGGGCAAAACATAAGGATGTGCTGTAAGGATGAAGAGGAACCAGCAGCTTTGTGTTTGGCTTTTGTAGTGAGCAGTGGGTGTCTGTGATTGTCTTATTTCCGTTCAAAAGCCCTTGGATTTCCCTTTCAAACTGGGCTTTTTTATAATCCACAGGCCACGAGGGCAATACAAGCTGAAAAGTTAAATTTAGGGAATGAATGGTAGTTGGAATGACCTGGAATCAGAGCAACATCGGTGAAGACAAACAAACAGACTATTTCTGACAGCAGAGATGAGGAGGAGCAAAACCAACCAGCACCACAAACCCCAGTTATTAGAATGAGAATTATTCTTATTTATACCATAATAAAGGCTGAAGGCTGGAAAAAGGACCTTGTGACTTCCTTGAATTGCAGCATTTTGGGACAAACAGGGCTTATTTTTAAAAACTGAACCGTGTCCGTGTATTTTTTTTTCCATTCAACTTGGAGGTTTTTAATTCTCAATTTTGAGTTTACTTTCTTGCCCAAGAGTTTGTATTTTCCCCCAGGGACATTTTGAACACTGGTTTGATCACCAGTCTCCTTTGCAGAAGAGAAGGGAGACAATGCTTCCCAATCTCTTGGGAATGAATGTCTGTAGGGCTGTTTAAGGGAATATCTCCATGAATGCTGGAAGGACAAGTTATCCCAGATATCAGATTGTGTCCCATACTGGAATTTACTGGAGTTTAACCTGCTTGCCTTGAAAGTTCTTTCATTTTCAGACATCAACCAAACCCTCACTGGTTTGATATCCAGAGAAAACAGCTTTAATTATGTATATAATTATCATATTGGGTATCATGGAATGTTAGCAGCAGGTTTTAGAGACACAAGGCTTGGGATACTCTGGAATTTGAGGTCGACTGTTGCTTTTTGGGCTGATTTTGTTATTCCCAAGGAGTTTCTCCCGGCCTGGTAGTTTGGAGTTCTCCAGTTTTGATGTTCTGACCTGTGAGGGGAGGTTTTCTAATATTTTTTAACTTGTGTTTTGAGTATAAAGCTGCAAGCAAAAATCACCAGGGGAGGAGGAAGAGCCCCCAGTGCTGTTTCATGTGTTTATTCAGAGTTTGGGAGATTTTCGAGGTCACTTCTTTCTGACACAGTTATTGTTCTATCATTGATGGTGTTTTTTATTAATAACCAAGGCCTAGAAAACCCTTGGGCCTTCAAATCTAGGGCAGTGTTTCATTCTGCATTACCTGAGCACGTGTTGTTTGTCCTGCAGGGGGTTCTTTGGATGTTTATAGAAAAATTCCAGAGCATGTCCTGGGGAGAATAGCAGTGGCTGTAAGTACTTTTATTTCTTTTTACCTCTCAGTTCTTGGTTGTGCATTTAACTTATCCCTGATTTGAGTGCTCACCTTGCCCCCCTTGGGACGCTGAGGTATCTCCAGAATCTGTGTCCTCGTGTCAAAGGGAAGGTCTTTCCTCTCTCCTGTGCAAAGGGACTTTGGGATTAAGGAAAACTTCCTTTTGAATGGCCAACATGTGGCTTGCTGGAGGTTCATGAGATAATTAGAGGGATGGAACACTTCTGTGAGGAAAGGCTGGGAGAGCTGGGGGGGCTCACCTGGAGAAGAGAAGGATCCAGAGAGACCTGAGAGCCCCTTCCAGGGCCTAAAAGGGCTCCAGGAGAGCTGGAGAGGGACTGGGGACAAGGGCTGGAGGGACAGGACACAGGGAATGGCTTCCCACTGCCAAAGGGCAGGGATAGATGGGATATTGGGAAGGAATTCTTCCCTGGGAGGGTGGGGAGGGGCTGTGATGGAATTCCCAGAGAAGCTGTGGCTGCCCCTGGATCCCTGGAAGTGTCCAAGGCCAGGTTGGACGGGGCTTGGAGCAACCTGGGCTACTTGGAGGTGTCCCTGCCCATGGCAGGGGATGGGATGAGATGGGCTTTAAATTCCCTTCCCACACAAACCATTCCAGGATTCCATGATATGATTCTATATAAAAGAATGTAATAAATTGAGTGGGATAAAAAAATTGAATTTGCTGGAAGTCTGTGGTGACATTTCTTCCTGTCAACCCTCCCAGGATGGAGCAGGGTCAGATAAAAAGGACAGTCCTCTTAATCACCTTAATTTACCTTTTAAGCCCTTCTGTTCTATGTGGTGCCTCCAACATTGACCCAGGAGCCCTGATGGTGATCCCTTGTCTGCTTAGAGTGTCATTCCCATTCTCACTGCCCTTAATCTGTCCAAAGTGACTCAGTTAGTTTGCCTTCCCAGGCTGAAGAATTAATTAAGTTGGTTCCTGTTACCAAGAACGTGTTTTCTGTGTTCTCCTGTGGCAGATGAGGAGGGTGAGGTTTTTATTTGGGGACAATCTGCTCTCCCACCCCTGTGCTGGGACCCTTCACACCTGGATGAAGACCTAATAGGGGTCATTTTAGGGCTGGTGAGCAGGGAGACAGTTTGGGACCCCAGTCCCCAATATCTACTCAATTTGGCCTCAAGGTGTTGACAAAGGGATCCTTAAAGCACCTGCTTAGCCCATCACTGTGGCTCAGCAGCTAAAAATTCGCCAGCCATGACCGAAAACTCAAATTACAGAACAACAAAAAAAAAAAAAAGGAAGAGTTAAAAAAAATCCATCATTTTGCAGAGCTGAACACGGGGTGAATGACCAATGTCTTCAGTGGATCTCACAGGGGAGAGAGATACTGCTAAACAATTGCTAAATATAAGGAATACTTTGATAACTTAAGCAGTTTAAAGCATAACAAAGTTATTCTATCATGTGCCATTTAATTAAGTGCTGGGTTTTCACATTCATTATACATCAAGCTGACAATTTAAATCCTTTAATCCAACACAGGCAGCTATTTAGTCTCTGTTCATTGTAATTCACAGCTCTACTTTCGTCTTAATTTGTGTGGCCTGCCCAGGGTGATGAACATCCTCCTCTGATGCTGGTTCCTCTAAGTAGCTTCAAATCTGCTCATTATGTACCTGGCAGTTTCTCCTGGAATTTGAATGCTTTTCACCTCCAGTTCAGAGGGAAAGCGTTTCATCTTTTCTTCCCTATGAGGGAGAAGCTGCTCACAGTGTCCTCATATCCCTGGTACCAAGGACCATGTGTAATTTTAAAGTTTAATAATACTGGGATGGACCTTCAAACATCCCTTCAGCTGCTTATTCCTTGTTTTCCTTCTCTCCCTTCGTGTTGTGTGTTTAACACACCCACACCAACTCACATTATCGTTTCCTTGCCTTTTTTTTGTCTCTCCTCTCCCCCATCCTCCCCATCCTTCCAATCCTTGGCATTCCACAGGTGTTTTAGTCCAGTTTTCCCCTTCTCCACAACGGTGTTGCTTCAGCCCCATCTTTTATGTCTCCATATCTCTTATTTTTTTGTTCCCCTGCGGGGTCACCTCGTTACCAAGGTGGCAGTTAGTGAGTGTGACTCCCTGACACGGGCACTGAGCTGATATTTAACTTTTGCTGGTTGTTTGATTTGCTGCTTTCCCATGCCTGGTGAGGAGCAGGGGGGTCAGGGGAAGGGGGGAACAAAGGAGCAGGTGCTTCAGAGGAGGAACTCACCCCTTCCTCCTGCTTCCCAGAACAGAAGGTGTGCGCTGAGGCCGAACCAGCACTGGCAGCTCCTCTGCTCTGGTGCTGATTTTCCCTCTGTTGGCACAGTGGAATTGTTGGGAGGAGGCAGCAGAAGCCTTTGTTTTCACTAGGATTTCTCCTCGAAGCCTTCCCAAACCTGCCTGTTGGTGGCTGATGTTTCAGCAGAGCCTTTTTTGGGGGGTTGGGGCACCTTTTTGCCAAGTCCTGCACACAGACACCGTAATCCCCCCCTGAACAGCTTGGGAAGATTACCCAGAGCCTGGAGGATTTCTGGTCACTGCTGAGGAGGGGAGTGTCAAACAAAAGCTGGATGGATTTTGTGGACAAAACCTGGAGCTTCCAGAGTCTCTTTTTCTTTTGCAATGTGTTTTCTCTTGCACCATGTACAGAGTCGTTTGTCTTTCATCCTCCCGAGACATGTACAGTGCATTAATCTACTGAAGCTGCTTAATAATAAGTGTGACCTGCACATCTGTTAATTGGGAAACCCTCTTGTTATGTTTGTAGAAGGTTTTAAGTGGAACCTTCCAGAGGAAGATGATTCAGGCCCATATTGACATTTAGCAGCACCCCCGAGCTCCTCTCGCTCCCACCTGAGGATTGCAGGGCTTGGATGATCTCAGAGGGCTTTTCCAACCTGATTCATTCTAAATGGGTGTGATGGGACTGGCTTTCTGGTACATTCCCCTCTCAACCAGACTTTCTCATGGATGTGGAGCTGCTGGAGAGTCCACAGGAGGCCACGGAGATGCTCCCAGGGCTGGAACCCCTCTGCTCTGGAGCCAGGCTGGGAGAGCTGGGGGGGTTCACCTGGAGAAGAGAAGGGTCCAGGGAGACCTGAGAGCCCCTTGCAGGGCCTAAAGGGGCTCAAGGAGAGCTGGAGAGGGACTGGGGACAAGGGCTGGAGGGACAGGACACAGGGAATGGCTTCCCACTGCCAGAGGGCAGGGAGAGATGGGATATTGGGAGGGAGATCATCCAGTTCCAAACTCCCTCCCATGGGCAGGGACACCTTTCACTATCCCAGGTTGCTCCAACCTGGCCTTGGACACTTCCAGGGATCCAGGGGCAGCCACAGCTTCTCTGGGCAACCTGTGCCGGGGCCTCTCCACTCTCCCAGCCAAGAATTCCTTCCCAATATCCCATCTAACCCTGCCCTCTGGCAATGGGAAGCCATTCCCCCTTATCCTGTCACTCCAGGTCCTTGTCCATAGTCTCTCTCCATCTTTCTTGTAGCCCCTTTGGGTCTTGGAAGGCCACAATTAGGTCACTCTGAAGCTTCTCTTCTCCAGGCTGAACAATCCCAACTCTCCCAGCCTTTCCTTTGGGAGAGGTGGAGGGATCTCTGACTTCATCATAACATCCATCCTGGTTTTTTATGTCAGAAGGGGAAATCGCTCTCCTTCCTCACCTCCTCAATTTGTGTGAAGGCCTGATGGGTTTTCCAAAGGAAAACTGTACCTCGGGAACCCCAAAGTGATGTTGTGGTGGCTCCTGTTCTGGGGCTGTGTCCTGCTTTGGGGCTGGGGGTGTAAAATCCCTTCTCCCTCCGCTTGCCACTTCACACATTTGTTTTCCCTTCCATTTGTGAGGCAGTGACATTGTGCTCTGTATTTTGAGTGCTAATGTTGATTGAAGTTCTCCCTGAAAGGATGTGCACTTGAACTGTCAGGAGAGGGAGTGATTGACAGCAGGTAGAAGTACTTTTTGTGTCAAGGCTTTGTCAAGTCATTGTTGTAAAACCTACTTTACTGAATACCAATAATTCCTGCCAGAGCTTCAATCAAAAGATTCTCTCTCCCAGCACCATTTTAGAATAATATTTAATACTTGAGAGTCCTTCCCTAATAGGCAAATGTAAGGGAAGTGAATAACTGTGTGTTACACGAGGTGAGTCCATTTGGGAGGCTCCTGGGAGGATATTTACAGCCCAGGATAAAGGGAAAAACTCCTTTTATTCCTTTATACTCTGATGCTGAGAGACTCTGAAGGGAGAGTTTGTTTAATACCACGTCTTATCCAGCACATGTTCCAGAATAAAGATATTTAATAACTCACAGCTGTTGATTTTTTTTTTTCCACAGGGAATGTTTCCTTTTTTTTCTCTATGATTACTTGCTTTAAAATAAATAATTTTCAAATTGTTTTAAAGCTTTTCAATAGTCTAAATAAATTTATAATAATCAAAGAGTATTCTGAAAATCACTTTGGCCATTGGAGGAAGCCTGAAATGTTGCATCTCCTTGATTTATTTTTGCATCAATATTTTTAAGTTGTTGTTGTTGTTATTAATAATAATAATGTCAAAATGCTGTGTAAGTAGAATTCCCACGTTTTGCTTGTCATAGAGTCACGGAATCCTGGAATCATTAAGGTTGGAAAAGACCTTTAAGACCAAGTCCAACCTTTTTGAAAGGCTTGAGGTGAACGTGGTCACACCTGTGGCCAGGAGATGGTTGGGTTTGGACGAGTTTAAGTGAGGAATTGCCACCTGGAGCAATTTATTTGGGATCCACCATCATGACTTGCTTTATAAAAGAGATTCTGATCCCACTGAGGTAATTTTTAATTAGAGAATGAATTTTAAAAGAGTTTCTAGTCCAATAGGAAGGTAGGGAATTACTGTGCTCTCTGCTTTCACTCTGTATCATATTTTTAACACTTCTGCTTGATCACTGTAACACAGATAATTTCATTTTGGTCTACTCAGACAGCGAAAAGAATGCAAAAAAACTCACACAAATTTACCAGTGCCAGAAATGGTTTGTGGTTCTGGAGGTGCACGAGGAGGGTCTCAGGGAAATGAGTTAAAAGTCACCTCAGAGATGGAAATGGGATAAAAAAAAGATTTTCTCTGTGAGAAGAGTTGACTGAGAAAGCAGGGACGGGTTGGGGGAAGGAGAGCAGTGGCACAAATGTGTTTGTTCTACTGGAAAAACAGATTTTTCAGTTTGTTTTTCCCAGTTTTGGTGGTGGAAGGAGGAAATTCTGGATTAGCAGGGCAAGGTCTGCCCCAGTTTTAGGGCTCCCAGTTGTGTTTTTGGGGGTGATGGGAGAGAACAAGGTTTGTGTTTGGTTCCAAGGTGAGTAATATGAAGAATGAGACAATTTATACAGTTCAAGAAGAAATATTCTGCATTTGCAGCTAGTAATTGAAAGCATGGAGAGGAAAGGAAAAGGTACAAGATGCACCAAATGGAAGGAAAAGAACAGAGGATGAAGTGGAAGAGGGAATTAGAGATTTTATTGTTTTCTGGCCTTTAGTTTCACTGAGTTGCTTCTGTTGCAGGAAGACAAATCATTACACCCTTTGTCTTCTGTGATTTTGAACACCCCAGCAAAGACAGATGAATTCAAAATACATGGAATTGCCTGAAGGGATTCAGTATAAACTCAACTGACTTCAACTTACAGATCCTGGGAAGAAGAATTTGTGTATCCTGAAAGAACTTGGGGCAGGTTTTTAGCAGGGATTCACCTGGTCCTGGAATCCTTTGGAAGGGATGTTTGGTGTCCCCTTTTCCTGGTCCTGCCTCTGTTCTTCATAACAAGTTGGGTCTCTCATTAGATGAGATGTTGCAGTTTTTCTGACCAGGAATCTCTAATGCCTGATGTTTTTTTTTCTTTTAACAGGTTGTGAAAGGCCTGACCTATTTATGGAGTCTAAAGATTCTGCACAGAGGTGAGTAACAGATGTTTTCTGTTTTTCAATGAAAAATAGTATTATAATATTACTATATAAAGTATAACAGATATGCAAGATAACCTTTTACAAATATATAAAAATATATAGAACTATATAGAAAATATATATTATAATAATAGTATTCATTTTAATAACCTTTTCTGCAAAGACACTTGACCATATTAACATCTGGTTTGTAATGCAGAATGAATCTTAATCATTAACCTCACACATTTCCTGGTAAAATATTTTTATTGCCCTTTTATTGCCCTACAAAGAAAAAAGACTGAAGAGAGAAATGAATTTTATAGAGATTTAGAAGCTTAGGGTTACAAACAGTTGCCCAGTGGAAAAATCAGATGTTTGACTAGTATTGAAAATAGAAGACAGATTTTCTTATGGACTTCAGGGATCTCATGTGAGTGCCACAAGATCTCTAAAATTGTGATCTCCCTGTCCCTCAGAATGGTCATGAAGAGTTAAAGGAACTTTAGTCCTGCTTGGACATAAATCATTTTTGGGTTTTGCTGTTTATTCTCTTTCCTGAAGTTAATTTGGATTTTTTTAAATGTCTCATTTAGTTCTTGCTTTTTAACATTGTTACATTTTGGTAAAAATGTATCTGTTTTGATAAGTTAATTGGCATATACTAAAACTTCCAAAACCAATGTCAATTCTGGAAAATTCTGAAAAAACAGTGGGAGATGCTGTTTCCAGAACAAAGGAGCCACTTCCCCCTGCACCACCAGCCCCCCCCACCCCCCCAAAAAAAGGAGGAGGAACTCATTACATTTATAATGTTTCTAAAGTGTCTGAAAGTAACTGCTCTGGTTGCTAATGTTGTACCAATGCTGTTTAATTTAACCCATCTGCTCACTCAGCCCGGGTGCACAGTTGGGGGGTGCAGTAACTTGGGATTGAAGGAGAAGTGTGAGGGGTGACACGTAGGGAATGTTAAATTCCAGACCAGAGAGGTGAGACCGGCCCTGGTGGGGTTTTGGAGGGGCTGAGAAGGTGATGGGCAGTGGCTGGGTCAGGTGTCCTGGTGTGAGCAGTGCAAGGAGTCAGAGAATCCTGGAATGGTTTGGGTTGGAAGAGACCTGGAAGTTCATCTCATTCCAACCCCCTGCCATGGGCAGGGACACCTTCCACTAGCCCAGGTTGCTCCAAATCCCTCTAACCTGGCCTTGGACACTTCCAGGGATCCAGGGGCAGTCACAGCTTCTTTGGGCAACCTGGGCCAGGGCCTCCCCACCCTCCCAGGGTCAGGACATGGCTGCAGTTCCTCCTTTCTGCTTCCCAGGGGATCGCTCTGAATTTGGGGGCACAGGCTGTGCTGGGTGGGAGAAGGAGGGCTGTGACCAAAAAAGTGAGTAGAGAACAACTAAAGACCTGGCTTTTATAAAGCTGTGAGTCATTTAGGTTGGAAAAGGCACGTGACACCGAGTCCAACCATCCCCCAGCATGGCCAAGGCCACCACTAACATTGTCCCCAAGTGCCACATCCACAGGGCTTTTAAACCCCTCCAGGGATGGGGACTCCACCCCTGCCCTGGGCAGCCTGTTCCAATGCTGGATGATGCTTTTCCATGAAGAATTTTTTCCTGATATCTAACCTGAACCTCCCCTGGCACAATTTGAGGCCATTCCCTCTCACCCTTTGTCCCCCAGATCAGGGGGTTGCTGGTGGACCTGACCCTGGGTTGTCCTGGGATTAAAAGAACAGAAATAACCCAGAGTTCACAACCAACTCAGCCCAGACACAGGTCACCAAGGAGGCTTCATTTCTGTGAGGGTTTCAGCAATTCACCTCCTACCCTGAATGTTGCCAGATGCAGAGATTTATCACCTCCATCCCCTCGCAGTGAGAGGAGGAACAATCTGATGCTGGAGCTGCCACAGCAATTCCAGAATAAATAGGAAACCAAAGGTAACAGGAACATCCATGGCTGGGTCTGGTTCTGAATGGACTGCACAGTTACTGCCACACTTTAACACCCAAAAAGAATGAAGATATGGGATTTTTCAAGTTTTTTTTTAATTTTTCTGCCCCCCCTTCTGATTGTGATTTGAAGAGGACGTTGTGGAGCATGAATATTATAACTGTAACATTTTCATGTTGTGCTGCTGTAAATTTGGAACCTGGCTCTGATTTTTGCTTTGCCAGTAGAACAAAATCTCCCCTTCTGCCTGGGTTTCCTTGCCTTGATTGAGGAGCAGCACTGAGCTTTTGATGAATTGTGTTTGCTCCTTGCTCTGGTCTAAAGAAAAGCACAGAAACCGATTTTTCATCACACTTCAGATTTTTCTGGCCTTGCTCTGTTGCTGCATTGACCAAGGTGAGACCAGCACTGAGGGGATAGTGAACATTCCAGGTTCAGCATTCCCCCAAGGATTCGTTCCCAGTGTTATTTACCCATTTCTAGGATACAGAAAAGGGTTGAGTACTTAAAAATCAGGGCAGGGGGATGCAGTGCAAGGAAGGGGTTCCTCTCTCCAAATGATCTCCTTCAACTGCCTCCTGGTTTTAACGCTCAGAGGCAAAGGAAGGAATATTGAACTCTGAATTTTTTGGTTTCACAAGCAGAGCAGAGCAGGACATTGATGCAGGATCCCAAATTTCCACGGTGGTTTAAGGAAGGACTGAAGCAAAGCCCCGGAGGGGGGATTAAAGCAAAGCAAACAAACAATGAGCGAGTCTTTTATTGCAGATCAGACATTGCAGCAAATATTACAGCTTCACTTCAAAACAAACCTCGCAACTAATGAGGTGATAGCCGTGCATATTAATAAACACAACTGCAGTCGTAGCCATCACACCCACATCAAACATAAACATGAGATTAACACCTCCACCACTTCTTTGGAAGATGTGAGAATGTCCCAATGATAAGTGTGCTCTTTTCCCCAGAGGATGAGAAGTAGAAATGGAAGGGTAATGAGAAATTAACTTAGATTTTAAAACAGAATTAGCAATTAAACAAGTCTCATCATGTACAAAGTCAAAGTTTGTATAAAGACAAACCGAAATCTGTTAAGTTCAAGAATAAGTATAGACCATGTGCATTTTATCTGCTGTGTTTTCCTCTGTTCACACCTTCTTATTAAAGAAAATGTATGAAATAAATGTTACCCACTTGTGTTTAATTGTACTGATCTGGATTTGTGTGCCTGGCTGTTTGGGCACTGGGAGTGTGTATATATGTACATAAAAATACATATATTTATATATATTGCACAGTTGGAGCACCTTGGCTTCCGATTAGATTTTATAATAACTTAGGACTAGCTTTTAAATTTGTGTTAATTTTTTAGCTGTTTTCTGGTTTGTAGTCTGTGAGGTGGGTTGAGCAGAGCTGAGGGTCTGGGGATCTCTTGGACTGTTGGTTGGTTTGTGGCAAAAGGAGGTTTGTGCATCACTCCTTTTATCCCAGGATGTTAAAAAAAATGGGATATGCCAATCCTCTTTGTCCTGGCATAATCTACTGGAGCTGGGGAGTGCTGGGTAGGAGGGACAGACGTTGGTGCTGAGTGGGCAGTGGGTGTTCTCATCTTCTCACCAGTAGCTGTTGTTTGCTGAGGATTTCACCAGAGGTGTCCAGAGCACCATTTTTGATTCTCCCTCTCCTCCTTTGTTTATCTCTGTGAGAAATAATCAGCATTAGGGCCACATTTGATGAAGCACAACCACAAATCCAGGGGTGTATATTGGAATATATGAACCTGGGCTAGTGGAAGGTGTCCCTGCCCATGACGGGGGGGACAAAATGAGCTTTAAGGTCCCTTCCAACCCAAACCATTCCAGGATTCTGTTATTCTATACATATATTTATGCCTGTATGTATAGCTAAACACATACATGGCCACTCATGGACCACTTAAGGCTTATTTAAAAAAAAATCATCCTGGCCTCCACAAAACCGTGCTGCTGTCTTCCTTGAACTTGGCACGTTGAGGTTTCCTATTTTTAAAAGACAGGAAAAGTCAAGAGACAGCTTTTAAACAATCTCAGGGTTTGGGTTTTTTTTCCCCCCACACAATCACGGATCTGTTTGCTTTTCAATAACACAAATGAATGAAATGTTTGGTGTTGAAAAAGCTGAACCTCTGGCAGTTCTGTTTACTGGTGAGTAAGAGCTTGGAGGTCCCTTTTATTTGCAGAGAGGTGAAACTACTTAGGCAGATCCATCACGAGGAGAACTTGTTCATCCTCTATAATGATGCTTCATAGAAATAATTTGTATTAAGCAAGCCCTGGTAATGGGAGCATAATGACCCCTTTTGGCTCTTGTTTAAATTCTTTCACTTCTGAACACTAATATTAATCACAAGCAGATGGTGCAGAACATTATTTATGCACATTTGTTTCCCCAACCCCAAAAAATATTTAACCCATTAACTGAAGTGGTTTATGAAACCAAAGGCTAATTTGCTGATTAGGTGATTTTTTTTTTTTCCTCCTCACTTTCAGTATGAGGTATTTTGTCACTTCCTTTTCTTTTTGAGGAAACCATTGGGATTCGTAGCAAATATTTGCTTAAATTTAATTTCTGCTGGAAGGACAGATTGGATTTGCTCTCACAGAGCTTGTTTGGCTGTTTTTCTCTATATGGTCCCTGGACTCTGGAGTCTTCCTGTCCTTGAGGGGCCCATCTTTTTTTTTGGGGGGGGGGGTTTCTTTTCTTTTGAGCTTTGTTTGTGAAAGGATTTCAGGCTCAAGCAAGGCTTAATGAATGACAGGTGTTTATTCAATTATATCAGCTTCCTGTCACATCCCGTGCAGTAGCAGGGGAGGGGAAATGGGGTCTTCAGATCCCATGAGGGATCCTGGTGGGAACTGGGCAGTGCTGGTAGCACAGGGACAAATGTGCTGTGCTGGTTTCCTCTGGTGGGTTGTGTCAGGAGAACAAGAATTTCTGGGCTGGACTTGGAGAACATTGAATTACAGAATCCCAGATTGGTTTGGGTTGGAAGAGACCTGGAAGTTCATCTCCTTCCATCCCCTGCCATGGGCAGAGACACCTTCCACTAGCCCAAGTTGCTCCAACCTGGCCTTGGACACTTCCAGGGATCCAGGGGCTGCCACAGCTTCTCTGAGCAGCCTGTGCCAGGGCCTCCCCACCCTCCCAGCCAAGAATTCCTTCCCAATCTCCCATCTATCCCTGCCCTCTGGCAGTGGGAAGCCATTCCCTGTGTCTTGTCACTCCAGGCTGTTGTCCATTTGGTTATTAATTATTTTTGTTACTATTTTTGTTACAATTAAGGTCATACTGTGGTATAACCTTGCTGTTCCTTGTGTCTGTCCTGTAAACAGCTGGATTTGTGGGGTGGAATGTCGGGATTTCTGTGTGTGCAGCAGCACCTGCTGCTCAGTCCATCCCGGCTCCGCACGATCCCGGGGCCGAGGTGGCTCCGTTGGCTCCATATTTTTAGAAAGAAGGTTAAACAGGATTACTGTGCAACTTGATGTTCTACTCAGGATTCAGGGTAGAGCTGCTGATGTGCTCGGCACGTCTGCTTAGATTTAGCAAAGTCACTCAGCACCAGAGGGGGTAAAACTCCATCAAAAATGCAGCACATGGATTGAATTCCTAAAGCTGGAGAGCAGGATACATGAACTGAGGGTTTGGATGCTGTTACATGATGGAGACTGATTTTTTTGGGGAGGCTTTTAGGGAGAAATTAGAGAATGTTCCCCCTCACTTAAAACGGTACAGATCCACTTAAGGTATGTAAGGTACTTTTTAAAACTGGATTTTTAGCTCAAATATAAAAAAAGCATTTAATCAGCTTCTTAATTGAGGTTATACATTTCTGCATTACGGAGACAAATTAAACAGGCTACTGTGCTACCAGAAAACAGCTGCTAAACCAAGGCAAACTTAATGATAAACAAAATTAGGTGCTTTTCTAGTTGGGTTTCATCCATCTGCACCCAACGAGTGCTCACTTTTAAAGAAGGCACAGATACCAGCTATTGCTTTTAATCCATTTTGACAGAAGAAAGCAGTGATTAGGCAAAGCCACTGTGCTCTAATCTTCCCAAGTTTAAGCCAGGCCATAACGTGCACATTCTGCTTCCCAACTGGCATCCCTGGAACAGGGAAGATGCTCAGTGTTTCCTGCACTAAAGCCAGGCTGGATGTTGAGCAGATTATTCCCATGTTGATTTTACAGTTTGAAACAGAAATGTACCAACTTCTTTTGGCATCAGAGGGGCTCAGCATGAAGATCTTCACACTGGCAGTCTGGTTTTATGATGGATATTGATGGTTTATCTGCTGGAACAGGGTTAGTTCATCCTTTTAAGGCTTTGCTGGCAGTTTACCCCTTTAAAAGCCCTGAAACCCTGAGGTTGGAGCCTTTTCATGCCACAAAAGCCACAGAGGTGGAAGCCAGAAGCTTTGGGGTGTGCCCAGAGCAGAGGTGTGGGATTAATCCCTGTCTAAATGTTATCCCTGTGGAATTTCATCTTCTTTTTTCAGGCTGATTTTCCATTTTGTCTAAAATCCCTGTGAATTTTAGGTGCTGCCCTTCAGTGCTCTTGTCACCTCTTCCCCATTGGTGTCACCTGCAGATTTAATAACATGGATTATTAGTGTTGTATAATGTCATCTGTGTAATATCATATCATATCATCTACGTAGAGATGATGTATAATTTATATATTTCTATAGATGATATAAATATAATATATATGTATACATATATGTATGTATATTTATATATATGTATGTATATTTATTTATATTTATATATGTGTATATGTGTATATTTATATATATAATATGTATATCACATACATATAATATATGTATTTATATAGATGATGTATTTATATATATATATAAAATATCATCTGTGCTGCTGACTTAGAGACCATTGGTTCCTTTTAAAATACATAAATGCTGCTGACTTAGAAACTAGAGGTTGCATTTGAAATACATATTTTTAATATTTCCTGTTAAAATCCATCATGCCAACATTCATAATTCTCTCTTGTGTATTTGGGGTTGTTCTGTGCAGGGTCAGGACAGGAGTTTGGACTTGGATGATCCTTGTGGGTGCCTTCAGACCAAGGAGATGTAATTCTAGGATATATCCTAGGATATAAAATTCTAGGATGATTTTCTAGATAAATGATATGTATATTATCTAGGACAACACAGATAATGCAGTTTTGTTCCCCCCCCCAGATGTGAAGCCCTCCAATATGTTGGTGAACACCCGGGGCCAGGTGAAGCTCTGTGACTTCGGGGTCAGCACACAGGTAATTCCCCCTTTGGATCTCTCCCTTCCCAGTCCCCAAATCACCTGGCTCCAGACAGGCAGCCCCCACCAGCTCCTCTCTGCTGGGACAGCCCTATTCATTTGGAATCTCTGGGCGACTTTTCCTTCATCTCAATATGATTGTTCATTGTTTAATGACAGTAAAAACTGCTGATATTGTAATTACTACTTACGAATGGCAAACTTCATTGATATGCAGCTTTGATCTGAAAGCTTTTTGGCCAGACAAAAGGGAGGGCAGAGCGAGGGCCGTGTCTGGGGAGCCCGACTGGCCCACAATAAAAATTAATATTGGGCCTAACAATGGCGGTGGGCTTTTACAATGTGCAGCACAAATTTTAATTAATTTCCATTTTGGGCCTCCCTGGAGAACTTCTCCGCTAGTGACCCATGAGCTTGCTGGGATGTTGATTTGAATTTCAGCACCTTTCCTCTCAGCCAAACACAGGGACCAAAGAGAAGGTCAGCCTTGTATTATGGGTTGTCAGGGGCTGTTGTCCCTCCAGCGTATTTAGTGCTCGTTGCATTCAAGTGATGAATTGTGGCTTTATTCACATCTTGAGCCAGCTGACTGAAAAATGAGTGTGCTCAATCCTACTTCAAATTGACTTTTTATATCAGACTAGTTTGGGGTACTAAAGCCATAAGCATCCTGTTTAACAGAATTGTTTAAGGTTATCTGCCATAAACTGTAATGCAGTGCTTGTTTAAATTGGAATCCTCATTCCCAACCCAAGCGAGATTTAATCATTTTTAATGCCTTGGCAGATAAATTTGTTCCCTTTTTACATAATTTTTCGTTGATTTATAGGAATGATGATTGTAGGTTAAATGAGGAATAATTGCCCATTTTATTTCCACATTATCTTTATATTGTTCTAACAGCCTGTTTTGTCTGATAGCTGGTGAATTCTATAGCCAAGACGTATGTTGGAACAAATGCTTACATGGCGGTAAGTGGATTTATGCAGGAATAACATTTAAATGGAAGTATTTGTTCTCTGGGTAAGGCAGGATATCTCCCAAATCAATCCTCCAACTCCATCTCTCCCCATCCCCGTGTCTCCATTTCGTGTGACAACTCCATCCTTTCCTGGTAAGGGAAGATTAATATTGGAGAAGGGTTTCTTTTCCGTGGATTTTTAGCTGCTTTTATTGCCTTGGAACAAGTGGGAACAAAGAAAAGAGCCAGTTGGACGTTCAGAAAACAGCTTTCCACTCAGAGCTCGTGGCTCTTTACAGATCCCAAGCTATCCACGTTTTGGGAATGCTGCTCCAAGCCTGGAGTTCAGCAAAACATTTAAACCTGTGCAGAGGTCTGGGTACCTGAACACCCTTTGAGGGGAATTTCCCATGGGAATGTGAAGCCTAAAAACATTAGGACTAATAATATCAGGGCATTAAATTGCATATTGTGGAATGTTCAGACCACACAGAGCGAGTCATCAGTATTTTCACTTTTTATTCTAAATTTTGGTCGTAGTCCTTGTTAAGGATTGAGACCACTTTTGTTTTATTTCTGTACATGGAAGCAGAAATTCCCACCATTTTTAGATCTCAGGAGGGCATTGCTAAAGGTACATCATTTGGGGGAAGGCAGAGGGTGAAAGATCTGGTTTTAAACTTGCCAGCTGGTCTGTGGTTCTCACATCAGGGAGATTAACACAGGGACAAGGACCAGCGTGAAAGGAAACCACACAAATTAGTGTGGATTTTCAGATCAATTTGATTAATTTTAATTCCCCATTTAAGATGTGAAAACTTCATTGCTTCAGTTTAAGTTGTCTTATTTTTAGCCATTGAAATTCCTTGAGCAAAACCACTAATATCATAATATTAGTGATGGAAAAAATCAGTGTTCTGCTTGTTTAAAAAAAAATTATAAACAGTGCAAAGTGGTTGGTGCTTGTGTTTATCAAACCTTCAGGAAAGAGGAGAGAGAAATCCGTGACCTTTAATCGCTTTCAGGTATTTTTTCTGACTTTCTTGTAAGAAGAAAGCAGCACCAGGTGCCCATTTATTTGCTAAGTGCTTTTCTACTCAAGTTATACTCATTATGTGCCTTCTGAAACACTCATGTCACCATCCTAGAAAGACTTGGGCTGTCCTGTGTCATCAGAAAAATGGTTTAAAAAAGAAAAGGTATAAAAAAAGAACAGGAATATAACGATTCAAACAAAGAAACAGCTTCAAATTAATCAACTTTTCCAACTCAGCTGTTACTTTAGGCTGGTCTTAAGCAGGTCTGAGAATTAAATTATATTATGCTTTTAGTGTACAAACCAAGATTACAGTTCTCTTTCCCAGGTGTACATTAAATAAATTGCTTTTTTTGCCTTCTTGTTTATGGGTGAATGTGATGCATTCGGCTATTAATTGGAAGTTAAAGCTAAAATGTATTTGATCTGATTTGCTGTGGTTTTGCTTCTTGATTGAGTCATTTGGTGTCATCAGATTTCTAGTCAAGTCCTCCAAAAATAATGAAGGTCATCAGCTTTGGTTCACCTACTTGGCAGACTGTCAGTGAATTTGAAACTGTTAAAAAAGATGAGGTTTGGTTTGAAATAACCAGGGCAAAAAAACCAACAACTTCTTGATTGAGAAATTAAAATTTCCAACCAAAATATGTTTTCTGTAAAATCATTTTGTCACCACTTTATATAGAAAAAAAAGCTTGGATGAAAAAAGAACCAGTTTTTAAGAGAAAATCCTTTGAGCTGTGTATCCTTAGACTGATCCCTGCATTGCACCCTTTACTTTATGCATGTTATTCCTATTTTCCTCTTCTTTTCCATACTCCTAAATTCATGAGACTGTACTTCTTGTTTAAATGTGCCCCTGATTTGCTTGCCCTTCTCATCTGTGAATCCATAATTCCTCCAGAGAAGCTGCTGTTTAAAACTCGAGCTGTTACAAAGGAAGAATAAACAATTTAATGTTCCTCAGTGTGAATTTTAAATCTGATTTGGTGGCTCAGGAAAGGTCTAAAAATATTCAGTGGGTGGCCTAACTTAGTCCATACCGTGTCATAAAAGCAGATATGTCTGTCTCTGTACATTTTTTGGCTACAAAACCGTATCTTTATGAGGATATTTATCAGTACAAAAAGATGCTTAAAAATCTAATTCCTACGTGATGCCCGGTTTAAACATTTCTAAGCTGTGCTGACCCGGGCTAATTTTACTTAAAGAACTTTAAAAAAATAAGATTTTTTTTTTTTTATTTTTGGTCACTTTTAAATGGCATTTGGTTAAAAGGATGTTGTTGCACCGTGGGCAGCACTGTGGTTTTTACTTAACGTTCACGCCGCGATAAAAGCTCTTGACCTGGGATTAGCAGCTCGGAGTAAACATCCAAACCCACATTGGACTGGCACTAATTTGGGAGGTTTGTTTTCTAAAAAAAGGCCTCTGGATTATTAAAGACTAAAAATACAGGCAGTGCTTTGTAGGTGGTTGGGTTAGACAGGTGCATTAACAGCACAGTGGGGAGAGAAGTCTCCCGGAGCCTTTTATTGTTCCATTTCATGCTGTACTTGACCTTGGAAATGCTTAAATTGTAGCTTTCAAGTAAAAACCAGCAGTTATATTTTACAGCATTCTATTTCATGAGGCATTAAACCTGCTGTTAAGAGTTTGGAGCCGGGTCTTTTGTTTGTTTTTTTTTTCCTACAGGTCAAAAACGAAATTAAGAAGTGTATAAAATAACATTGCCCACGTGTGACTTCTTTGGGCTTCAACAACTTGGCTTCTTAAACCAAAGAAGTTTCAAAAGTAGTTACTTCCCCAAGCCCTTGACTCCACACGAGGAGGGTTTTCCTTGCTGTGGTGCCTGGGCTTGGGGATGGACGGACAAACCGTGGGATTCTCTCAGCTTGACCTTGCATTCCTTGGCTTTTTTTTCCTTGGATGAAACAGCCCAAACACAAATGCCAAGGCTGCACTTCGCAAGGTGCAGAGCAATGCACAAATACAGTTTTTCCTGAAGAGTGGATTTGCTCTCTGGGGAGTTTTTGGTAGTTTTTGGTGCCCCTCCACACGAGGGGCAGCTCCGATCTCTGCTCTCTGGGAGCAGGGACGGGACACAGGGAGTGGCTGGAGCTGTGTCAGGGCAGGGTCAGGTTGGATCTCAGGACAAGGTTCTTCCCCCAGAGGGTGGTTGGCACTGCCCAGGCTCCCCAGGGCAGTGCTCATCTCCCCTGGAGCTCAAGGAATGTTTGGACAACGCTCTCAGGGACAAGGGTGGGATGTCCTGTTGGACTCCATGATCCTCGTTGGTCCCTTCCAACTCAGGATATTCCATGATTCTGTGATTTTTTTTTTTTTCCCAATGAATTTGCTTGCCCTGGACTGGATTTTGTGCAATGTTATGTTTGTTTGCAAGGCTTAAGAAGATGTTTCCCTCCATCTCTTTGCAGCCTGAGCGGATTTCGGGGGAACAGTACGGAATTCACTCGGATGTTTGGAGCCTGGGCATTTCCTTCATGGAGGTAGGAAAAGATCTCATTGTCCCTTGCATGTCTTAAGAATCACATTAACCCTAACATTCAAATATTTTGATGTAATCTTTGCCAGTGCTTTGTATATTTATATGCCCTTAACTCTCGCTGAATTTGGGCTGTATTTAGAATGGGTTTGTTCTTTTGAGCTCTTAAACCCTCCAATAAAACTCAAAAAAAAAAAGAGCAGGAAGTAGGGCCTGATGCATAGATGTCTCTGCATCCTCTCAGCACCTCAGGGACTGAAAATGATGCTATTTCTGTGTTGCATCTTCACAGGCCAGGCCAGAGTGGGTGATTATTCGGGTTAAAGCGGCGTTTTGCAGATTGGAATTTGGAGCTGGTTAATGGCCTTGCAAAACCTTGGCAGAAATATTTGCAGGATGGTTGGAGCCTCTACCCTGTGTGATTAAATAAAGTGTTCAGATTTAAGTGTCCACCAGGGCTTTTAGAAAGATTTCTCACAAGCAGAGCTTCCAGCAGGAGCAAAAAAAAAAAATCTATGAAAATGAAGCCATTCAAAGGGAGTGTGGCTGTAAATTGTGCTGTTTGGGGGTTGGAAAGAGATGATATTTAAGGTTCCTTCCAATCCAAAGCAGTCTGGGATTCTCAGTGCAGCCATCCAGGAGCAGCCACGCTTGGTGCAGGTTTGAGCAGAGCAAGTTTTGATTCAGGAAAAAGGTGTTTTTTTCCAACTTAAGGTGTCTTAAAACATAAATTTTTATAAAAACAGATTATTGTTGGTAGGAGAGATAATGTAGAGTGTGTAACTTGAGGAGAGGCCTGTGCTATGATCGTGTCTTGACCAGTAAAATCAGATCTGGTGTAAGCTGGGCTGGGAGAAGGAACTGGTAGCTCTGGTCTGGTGGTGACAGAAGGTCATGTAGCTCCTCCATCCTGGCTTTGACTGGCCACAAACCAGCTGGAAACCCTTGGAGCCTTGGGCAACAAGCCCTCAGAAGAGTTTTTCAGCTCAAGGGCAGTCCCATGAAGGAAATTCCCCCTGCTTGAAGCAATTGTTTCATCCTTTAAGAACATTCCTTCAAACCATGGGTGACTTGCACCATTTTTCTTGCACAGCCTGACAAAGGCATATATGATTAAGCAGAAAATATGAGTGCCCTTCCCTTCTCTTCTGGAATAATACAATATAATTGTCATTAAGGTGAAGCTGAATATACCTTTAGGTGAAGTGCAATTGATTTTTTTAACAGGAGATGAGGTAGAAGTTAAATAAGATTAAGATTTCACATTTTGTAGCCCAAAAATTAACTATTGCTGTGTTTTCAAGCAGTAAATTCCTTGGCAAACCCCTTTTAACCAAAATGAAGGTGGTTAATGCTGAATCATTGCATTTAGGTGTAGTAAATCTTTCTCAGGGTCTGACTGGAGCCAACTCTGAGTTGCAGCAATGACACACTTTAACATGTCACAGGGGAGACAGGTCTCTTCATTTGTTTTACTGCAGATTTTAATGGTTTGTGATGCTGGAGAGCCCTCACTCATGGTTTTGGGAGAGAGACAGAATGTAGTCACTCACTCTGTAAATTAATTTAGCCAAAAAAAGGGCTAAAATTGTATTACATGAAGGCCTAAGTGTACAACATGAAGACTTGATTGAGGTGTCCTTCCTCATTTGGGGGGATATAAATATAGGACTTTATATATAAGCATTTCCTAGTTCCTTTGCTGAATAAAAGAATGTATTTTGATGTGCAGCAGCAATTCAGTGATCTACCATGTAGACCAAGTTGTCTGGAGTTCAGTTCAGGGTTATTAGCAGATAACCTGGCTGGGGATCGATTCCGTTTGCAGGACGGATTTTGCCATCATTAGGAAAACCCCTTTCATTTGCATTTGCTCTCCTGTTTTACACCTTCTCAACTTCTATTTCCCTCTCCCTTTCCATAAATGTCTTCTGGATCAGATGTCCAGGAACCAATCTGGGCCTGTTAATTGGTGTGTCATCTGCTCCTCCGAGCCCTCTCCCGGCACGGTCGCTGCTGTCTGCAAGTGCTTTGAGTGATGTGTTAAATGATGAAAGCAAGGACAGAGGCTCAGAAAAATGTCTTCACAAAGGTGAAGAAGGTGCTCAAAGAGCCACCCAAGGTCACTGTCATTAAAGTAACACTGTATTGACAGGGGGATTGGCAGTGGAGCCACCCAGGCTGGCGTTGATGGAGCTGTTAAAAAGGGAAGCCGGTGTTTGCTGGGGGATTTAAAGTCATCTCCACTTAGGAGGGTGATACTCAACCCCTACAACTTGGTGTTAGCACAGTGGTAGCATGTTAATGTAAAAGAAATGGCTTGTGGGATCAAGTTAGCCCAGATTACTCGTGCTGGAGTGTGAGCATATAAAATCTTCTCATTTTCTTTAATATTCTTCTGAGCCTTTAAAGCGTCTCGAATTTCTTTGCTGCAAAGCTTTGTGTAATGGGAAATGCAGCTGTTGTTGAGAAGGTTAAGAAAACTGCCCCAAAAAACTTGTTAGGAGAGTGTAGAAAGTATTAAATGTGAGCCCTGCCTAAGCTTTGGGAGATGGGGAACATTCACGTTCCCTTTGAAGAGGTGTCTGAGGGTGCTCAGTCTTCCCTTTATAAATAAAAAAATAAAGTAAAATTAAATTAAAATAAAATAAAATAGAAGAAGAAATGCTGCTAGCTTTACTATTATTATTGTCATTATATAATATATGAAATATATATAATATCATATATATGATATGATAATACATACAATATTATTATTATCTTTATTATCACTGCTTCCTCTTTTTGAGTTTGCATTTCTTCCCTCAGGATTTTTCTGAAGTGCATGAAACTTAGCACAGGCTCTGTAAAGCTGTTTAGAAGTGTTTCCCCACAAATAGTTTCTGTGTTTCCAGGAGGTTTTTCGATGTTTTTATTTAAGTGCTCTCGGCTTGACAAAGCAAGTTCAATTTAAACCAATGCCACTGCTGTCACTACACTGAACACTGTGTCAGCATTTTCATTTATAAAAGCTGTTTTTCAAGGGTTTATAACTCAGTCATAAACCACAGCTAGGCTGCCTGGGCTCAGGCTGAGTGTGTGTGTGTGTCCATAGCCCATTCCCTCTCTCCAAGAGCCGTGTCCTGCACGGGAGGATAAATTAAATTGCCCCATATTTCTTGTTCCTCTCCACTCTTGACTCTGATCCTGCCTTGCGTGGCTGCTCTCCACAAGTGAACTTTAAAACATCCAGGGGAGGATAAAATACACCTGGTTGGTTTTAATACCAGTATCAAGGCCAGGTTGGACTGGGCATGGGGCAACCTGGGCTGGTGGGAAATGTCCCTGCCCGTGGCAGGGGGTGGATGAGTTGAGCTTTAAGGTCCCTGCCAACCCAAACCATTCTGGAATTCTTTTCAATTTATCCACAGACAGAACTGATGTTATATTGAAATGCAGGAGGTGAAAGCAATTTGCCTATGCCCCAAAACTAAGTAAGTTTTGGAAGTAGAGTATGAGCTCACCTTCATGGCTGATGGTGCCTTTTTGCTCCTCCTTTTGTGTCACATCCTGGGCTCTACTTCCCACTCTCCTCTGCTGGGAAAAACAGCTGCTTCCCTGTGTTTCAGCCTCCTTTGAAAGTTAAATTTACTCGCAGAGGTTCTCACTGTTCTCTCCTTCAGGGACAAGGAGTTTGTGCATCAGTTTTAACATCAGTTCATTATTAGTTCTTAAAACTCCCAAAATGAGAATTTAAAATCTTTGGTTACCAGGGCTCTTGTTAGCTGTATACTTGCAAGAGCTTTCAAGGGTTATTAGAAATATTTTAAGCAGCCATAAGACAGATTTTCAGCATTCCCACACACAGGAACACCAGGATTTATCCCCCAGACATCGTTATTTCAGACACACACATCTTCTGAGGGTGGTTAACCCTGATTGCACCCACTGTCAGTGCTGTGGAGTCTCAGACTCTTCATCCCACTTGGATTGGGAGCACAGAGGGAGCTGGAGAGTCACAGAATCACAGAATATGCTGAGCTGGAGGGGGCCCACAAGGACCATTGAGTCCAACAAAGGCAAGGAGGAGCAAGATATTTGAAGAGGGTGCTCCAGGAGAAGAAGCTCTGCTTGAAGATGATTCTCTAAAAGCACTTCAATCTTTAAGATGTTTAACTGCATAAAACTGGTGTCAAGACTTGTGTATCATCTGGTCAAGGAGGGGAGGCTTCAGATCTGTTTCCAAGGAGTCTAAAATACGTGATCAGTGGGATATCATCGGCTTGGAAGTGATAATGGTTCAAGGTCAAGACTGTGAGCTGATCTGAGGGAGGTTGTGCAGAGCACAGTTTGTCTTCTGCAGGATTTCACTCCTCTGTGGATGTTATGGTTGGTCTTTCCTCAGTTTTACACCCTTAACTAAAGAATAGGTGTAGTTGTTGCTTAGGGACAGTGTAGTGGTGGAACCAGCTGTGTTATGTTCATGGTTGGACTTGATGCTCTCACAGGTCTTTTCCAACATAAAGAATTCTGTGATAGAGGGTGGAGGGGAGAACCTGAAAGCCAGAGCTTGGTGCCCTTCGTGTGCTGGGCATGAGCTGGTTTATTTTGCTGGTTTAAACTGGAGAGACTGGGCAAGGCCTTGCCAAGGTGGAGCTGCTGGTGCTGGTAGAGCCAGTGGGAACAGCTCATGGCAGAAGGCAGAAGGCCTTTTTTTTTGGTTTCATGAAGTTTGGCTGAGAGCAGAGTCATGCCTTGAGCTGCCTTGGGCCGTGGATCATCACACAGGTGGGACTGCAAATACTGCACGTTTCCTTTAGGATTAAGAAAAGCAAGGATATATAAAAAGTGCCTTTTTTTTTTTTTGCAATGAGCCTCACCTTGTTGCTGTCAGGTTTTGAGGACTGTAATGATGTGATGTTTGTGACTTGGTGACTTCTTGGCTGCTTTGCTCAGCCCCGTAACGTGATTTGCTCTACAACTTAAATCCTTCTTGAGGGACATTTACGTGGTTTCAGCCAT